ATCTATCTGTGTGCGTCTGTTTATCGGTCGGTCGGTCCGTCAGTCAGTCTATCTGTCTGTCTATATATCTACATGTATTTACGTAATCATCTTCTTAACAACCCTATATAACGGACCTGTGAAGATCCGGGTTAGAATTGATCTTCAGTAACCGATACGTGTCGCCAAACGCTCTTTGCGGGATCTTGTGGTCAGGCTCCCTGACTTGATTGACACGTCATCGTATCCCATTTGCGTAGATCGGTCGTCATGCTGTTGATCACTGGATTGTCTGGTCCAGACTCGATTTTTTACAGACCTATAGCTTGCATATTGCTGAGTGCGGCGTTAAACAACAAACCAACCAACCGTGTATGATATCGCATGGACGTCTTTCATTAAGCTAAAAACAGCACGCAGAAAACTATCATTATCGACACTACATTGTCACACGTCGTTGGCATGCATACTTTGGAAGGCCGTGGTTTAGTGGTTAGAACGTCCACCACAAGAGCGGTCGGTAGGTTCGATCTTGTGATCGCAGTGTGAAAAAGACCTTCGATACAATAGGGAAAATGTCTGTTGAGTTTGGAGTGCCCTACAAGGGACGAAAAATTGCGAAATGATACGTCAGCGGACTCGTGCAAAACACATGCACGTGCATGCACGCTGTTAAATGAATGCATTTGTTTTGGACATGGCGTCAAACCCAGTTTCGTCACACCTTGGTTTCGTCTTTGTCACGACGTCAAGGAATCACGATAAGAGAGAAAGAGCGTCTGGCAGTCAAACCCGGTTAACACGAACAACATCCTCCTGGAAACATCTGTTATCAGCAATTGCTGTGTACAACCTTCAAACCATTTACTGCGAATAACCAGAAGGTTAGAATAGAAGACATCATCATTAGGTGGACATACCTATCAGGTCTTTGGGAATCCTTCTCGCCATTATCCCTAGTTAACTGGTATTTACCAGACATCAGATCCGACACCACTTCAGGCGACGTATTTTCTGTCCCTGCAGTCAATTGTACAGTAATATAATCCAGACAAATTGATCTACCTTTTAGCTGCCCTTCAACTGAATTCTATTGAACAGACTTGATTAATGCAGTGTAAATCAGTGACCTAAGTCTACAGTATGACTGAGTGAGTGTGGTTTTACGCCGGTTATAACAATATTCCAGCAATGTCACGGTGGGCCTAACATTAATGGCTTTGCACATTGAACATTTGTGGGAATCAAACCAGACCTGTCTTCGTGATGAGGAATACCCTTAACTACTGGACTAACCCACCCGCCCTGACACGGAGGAAACGTTTTCTGTTATACGGATATATGTCACAGGATTCCTTGATTTCAGTCACGGTCGTGATGTCTTGCTGATAGACATTTCCGCAATCTCTGTGACGACACGGAGACCCAAGATTCCGGCACATTGCGTGTATTCCCATAGATATCAGAAACTGTGGATTCATATTTTATTCTTAAAAGAAAAAAAAGTATCTTAAAAGAAAAGTGAACGGCCAAAATACTTTACAATGTGTATTTCCATGCATATAGTTTATGCTTGTCATAGTGATATATATTCTATCAGTTTTTATTGAAAATAGGCTCTGGGTCTGACGAATCAATTTACGTTGCGTAAATGTATGAATCCATTTTTCGTTAGTTATAAAGTTGTTGTCTATTTTATCTTATGTAGAACATGTTTTAGACATTGTACATGTATCCGCAACTGATAGTTGGGTAAGTTGACATTCGGACATGCTGACGGGTCTGTTCCAACTCGGACATTCGTTCGTCCAGACGATTAAACACAATATTATAATACAGATACCGAGGGAGTGCGTTTATAACCATAGAATTCCTCAATACAAAATCAAACCGACGATAGAGTATTTATTATCAAACCACACTGGCCATGTGCACATGTAATGCTATGGCAGTTTTATCAAATTCTGAACCACATGGCTGATAAATTGCCAATATGACATCATTCTAACTAAGATCTAAAAGGGATGTAAATTTGCTTACGTGGCTTACAGTTGTCAATCTGACATCTTACTCCGCAACATAAAGACAACATGATTGTTCTGCCAATATTTGAAATTATTCGTTATCTGAATTTGGAGAACATTATTTAAGTCTAAACATTAGTTTTAAACCCCATGGGATGATATTATCACAACTAGAAACATTTACGATTGATGTGTTTTAACAACAATCGATGTTTTCGGTATTCACCGACCTATAATTTCAAACCTAGGCATAAAATTGAATTATATTCCAATCATCTTTCCGTTCCCCAGGTCAGTGTACAAGTTTAAGTAAACTGCGAACATTATTCAATGGGGCAAGGAGGGAATTGTTAGGCTGGTCACACAGTAAAATATTAGAGAGGATGGGAGGTTTAATTCGTGCAAGTTATTTGTATGTCATCCAAACTACCATACCGATTAAAACACACTTAAATTCATTATTGTTAATGTTTCATTTTTATTTCAACATGAATTTGGTTTGGTGTCCATATGCGATATGCAAATATTATTACATGCTTCAAAGGACGATGCATAACAAAAACTATTTACACCCACACACGACCCAACACAAGCTATTTAATGTTATTTGACATCAACACTTTAGCATTACGCACAAGAGAATCATATATATTATTCCAAGAAACTTCATAACGGCTGTTCGTCTCCTGTGTGCAATCACAAACGATAACGCTTATATAATATAATGGCAGGCTTGTGCCGAAACCTGGGAATGTCTTGAACACAGTAAACGCGTTTGTAACATGGAAACCAGAACATGTAACATCTCTCCCTCGGGAAGCATTACAATTAGAAGCATCCTGCGTTGGTATCGCGTAAGCATTTGCACATAGGTGATTACATGTCCCCATACTTGTAAATGATATGCCCATTCGTCAGCGTTTTAGTGTAGGGTCTAGTGCATATTAATGGTAAGGTCCTGGTACTTTAGGAATCGTTTCTTTGATGATGGTCGGAGCGAGTGTTCAGATCGGTTTATTGGTCTAACGCATTGAATGTAGAGCTGCCTGCAAGTCCGTTAAACATGTTCGTCCTGTCAGAGGTTATCGGTATGGTAGTATGGTTAATGTGATATATAGACATATGACTTCACGGTTGTGTCCGTTTTTCGTGACGGGATCATATGATCTTTAATACTTTGTGATCTGTCGGTAATATATATCTGTCCTCGTGAGATCCTTGAAAGACATGCAACAATGTCGTTAATGGGCCTTCCACTCACTTATCCGTCTCATCCCTCTTGGATATATATTGCTTGGTTCCCAACGTTTAACACTTACAACTATATATTAAGTTCGGGAAACCAAGGAATTTTATACCAATTTGAGATTAAATTATTTTATTTGTAAAACTTAATAAAGCTTCAAGATAGACGCGTGGAGGGCATCTCAAATTATATGGCGTACGATGCCATTCCCCATGTAACGTTGTCTTTTTAAACTATTGCTCTGCATTTGCATGTGTTTATCACTGGTGACACAAGGCAGTCACACCTACCCTTTCACGAACACCTGGAATCATCACTATTTGATAGTGATTCCTAAACACATGCTCATGATATAGTATAAATCCTACAATGACCTCTTCTTTTAGCAAATGTGTTTGGTGGGTATAAATAACTTTATGTCGTTTGTAATTATGTAAATGTAAATTGTTTGAGATATACTATTTAGTCAAGCCTCCTGAATAAACACTATATAATTGATTCGCTTATTTGACAGTACTGACAGCATAGACTTCCAGTAGTTAGAAACATATGCATATCCCTACGATGTAGGTGGAATTACTCAGCACATAGATGGGGATTGAGCAGGTGTTAAACGTTGTTTTCAATAGAAATTCCTTAGTACCGACTCATATTTATATCATCAAGCGTTTCCCTTCAACCATTGGATTGGACGTCCCACACACGAGTAGAACGGCTTTCTTGAAGACGTACATACCATGACAACCTTAACCAATCGCCTGCAGGTACGTCCACTCTTCACAGAGTTACCATCATCGCACGCAGTGTGTAAGATTGTTTCCTCTTCCACGTGTGTTATTACTTAAATTAATCAGAGGCCCAGATAAGCTGCGTATCCGGGTAAAATACGCATATAAAATTTCCAATTACGCATTGAAAAATAATTGTTGCGTACCAATTACGCATTTAAAATGTTAGATACGCAAAAAGTTTAAAACAAATGCGTACGGAATATATTTATAAAAATCGCTTGCGTAATGAAAACATCGACATATCAAGTTGTACTGTTAGTATAGGACAAGTGCTGTACTGTCCATTTAGGATGAGTGTTTTTTTATGAACTCATTTCCATTATATTTAAGTTGGTTTTGATTAGGTATGACATAGTCATAAGGCAGAACATACCTGCTTAGTAAACTTACTCAGTCACATAATACTTAGGTGAGTAAATGACTGAAATACGCACATGTTTGAAAGCAGTGGGTAACGGAAAATAAAAATACCCACTCAACATTCATAATACCCACTCCAAAAAAATACAGTGGGTACAGTACCCACATGAGCTAAATCTTATCTGGAGCTCTGCAGACTTATATGTGTTTGTAGGTTGTGATTGGTCAGGATTCTCCCCTGTGTCAAAGGTCTTTCCAAACCACATGCTCAACAGTTTAACTTTACTCTTGAACACCATAAAACGCAGCATGTTTACAGTTACAAGATGTCATGTTTCTTGCTTCCCGTTTTAAAGTAATAAACTGGCTTTCAAGTGTATTTTTAAACCCAGGTCTAAAATTAAGTCTTTACTTTTTCAACAACCACGGTAATCAGTCTCACCAAACTGCTGGAACATCTCACCACTAAACCAAAAGTAACACATTTGAAATGGATGGATATTGGTTTGAAAGGTAACCCGAAATTAAATCTGGTTCCGCGGAAAAAGCCGGTCTAATTGTGTATGTCTGTTATAGTACTTATCATCAACTTTGACCGAGTTATTAGTCTGCTGTAGACCTGCCGGGGATTTACGATCATCTTTGAGAAGGCCAGATGAACTGGCTTCTATTTGAGAAGTGCAATGACTGAGTACACCTTAAAATATCACATACCATGGCGAAAAAAATACAACGAGAAGAAATGAAACAATTTTATCGAGTTGAGTAGGTGAAAACTTTTCTACGTAAACATCAGAGACATGTATATAGCTGTGCTGATTTCAGTGCGCGAAAGCAACATAAGTCTTTCAACGGATAGGCACACATGTTTTACCTTTAAGTCGTACAAGTAGATCATTTATCAAATACGTCAATGCATTTTATCAGTTTGGCAAAAAAAATATCAATATATCATTTCTGAAAACCAACAGTGACTACGGATGAAGCTGATAGCACGTTCCTGAACATCCGAACTGGCGGCATGACATTGGATATAGGCCATGAATATCTACATTGTAATTACAAAATGTGCACGTCTCGAGTGTCAGAATCGTATTAGTATGTATAAATTCTCAGGCGAAAGTTATAAGATGCCGCAGTTTACATAAATGTCTCACACAAGATATGAATCCGTTCCTCAAAGAGGTAGTGACATTTAAGAATGCGGGTTCAGAATAAATTTTATGGGGTTCACGTGTTTTGACAAATGGAAAGGTTTGATAAATATGTTGTAAAGGTGTGAATACATGTCCAACGGTGGGGACACGATAAATGGTCACTAATCAAATGTGACCAATGAAATACACATGCTAATCTGATGTGTGATAGTCCTAACTTTCGTGGAATTGAATTCCTTTCTTTTTGTTTAAAAATGGGGAATGGTCAGTTAATTCTGAACCTGACTTGGCAATGTTACCTAAAGGCCTGACGTTTTAAAAATGTTACTTGCTATTCATAGATTTTCAAACCTGTCATAAAAGATTGCTTCCGTAAAAGATGCAGCTATTGATATTTTTCAATCGTAAAACTTATGATCGTAGTGAGGTATGGATGTGAAAAATATCAATTTAAAGTCGCAAAGATTAGATAGCCTCCGAAGGAGTGATTTTATCAAATGACGGTGCAATAACCGTGTCACATTACCATTCACTAGACACAGAATCACATCTCATAGAGGAAGCTCTTTCTGGGCCAGCTACAGAGTATTCTACTTGACTTTTCAAGAATTCCTCCTAAGGAGAGAATGGCGTCTTATCACCATCGATCCTTGCCCAAGTAGATAACACGTGCCATCAACTCAAATACTAAATCTCGTCGGAACGAGAGTTTGGCCACGTGTAACATGAGAGCTGTATGCATATTTATGAGACTCATATTAGAGAGTTTCCTAATGGGACTGATGTATTTGCACCTGTGGCCCATGGCATAGAACGACGACTATTTCATAGACACGTTGATGGTGTATTTTTCTGTAAAATAGGTGTTTATAGATGAAAGGAAATAGTCAGAGATGCTATTAATTCCATCATTTAGCCGCAACATTTATCTTTCATATCAGAAAGGACTAAGGGTTTCGAAAAGCAATTTCCACAATGATTCATGAATGATTCAAATGGATACGGTTTTCTTCTTACAATTTATAAACCTTGAATACCCGGCGTTAAGCAGCTTCAATTTCATATGCCGTCTGGAAAGTTACATTATCTAGTTCTTCAATTATGTACTCTTGTCATCGCTCTTGATATTTGTGTAATTTGAAGGGCTCGCAAAACAAACCATGATGACAAATATTTGCCGGAAGGATAATGATTTCCCCAATCAGCAAAGCCTGTAAAATGCCATGACAATCATCCCTGTATTGTTTATAATAGATTTACGATTGTCTAAGCACTACCTTAAGTTTATGGTTCTGAGACGTATTTGAAAGACTGGCATCTTATTGTTCTCTGCATTTGAAACCATTTGTCATCTCTCGTAAAAGAAAATTGCAGTCTGGAGGGACAGTTGCCGTGCATTGTTATGCCTTTCTGTACGGATTCATGTGATGTCATTTACCTGTGACGTCACAGTTGATCTTGTACATGCTTTTTGATGGTCGTCATAAGATGCATAGATATCTTGTAATTCATGTTCACTATATTCTAATAATGTTTACATGATATTGGTCAACACATTACCGGTTTAAGCCCAGTACAAACTGAATTTGAAGAAAGAAACCGAGTTGTCTCTGGCGTTTTCGTACTATGTTTATTGCGCCATGCTTTAGATAAATCATTTGGTATTCTTGAGAGTTTCGTTGAAAACAGTATGTTTCTGTTCACTGTTTCAGGATACACAGTTATATAATGACGGAAGCTAAACAAATGCTACTTCGTAAGAACAAGTAAATAAATCATTACTTTTTCCCCTTCGAAACATGGGGTATAATTAGTCACTGTCAATGTTTCTCCAACCTTCCCCAGAATATATCCAGATGATTCCTTCAGCTACATTCGTCCACTCTATACATTCTATCTTTCTCCGCATGAAGTAAATGTATTTTATGCATGAAGTCACCGAAAGTTTTACTGATAGTTGTTCAGTTGTATATGAGTAAATATCTAATCAATCAAGTATATCAACGGGCAATGCGCCAAGACTCACCCGTTTTTCTGTTTCCCGTCTGGGTGCAGTGTGTCTTAGATATGATCCTTCTGAAGTTGATATATTTTGTTTTCTACATTCTTTGACCATTAGCTCGTGATATTTAAATCTAAATGTACACCAAGCTTAGCAATAAACCTTAACATGTCATATGTGACGAATACAATTCAAGAGAAGAATACAATTTTATAGAGCTGTGAAATCTTAATCTTTTACAGAAATGGTATGTAATGCCATATCCGGGGTAATAATGCTTCCACGCCTTGAGCATGCCTACGAGCGTGGATATGTGCGCATTATAAATATGCACTATTGTTATCATTATTATTACACCTGAACATCAATACAGTAAAAAACGTTGTGTCGAATATTTATGGACTTGTCGAACTTACTGTTTTCTCCAAGTAAAATCTTAGACTGATTATTCATTATTGTGTCGAACCAGGGATAACTCGAAGTATTTACGTTGGTCCGTTCATCTTCGACACAATCTTTCAATATGTCTTTTTTAAATATCCGAACAAAACATATGTCATTGCACCTACAGCATCCCAGTTAACGTTTTTGTCCCAATGCGTATATATCCATTTAACTTGGCAGACTAGCCTGTTTTTGGTTTCTAGTATATTTGGAAAGCCTGTGATTAATTCTGTGCAGACAGTCTTCGGGCATGGTGAGGTACTAAGTAAATTTATGACAGAGAGTTAACGCCTTGGCACGCAACTACTTCGGGTGCGGTAAATAATCCTGTTGTAATGGAGGTCCTTTCATTCAGTGACAGCTGCCGGTGAACCATCTCCTGTTTCAATGATGTTCAATAACCCACAAGCCCATGGGAGCTGCCCCATATCACGGAGCTCTGACCGGGAGGATTAAGACAAGAGAAAAACCTACAAGGCACGTTTAGCAAGCGTTCAACTCATGAATATGCAAATAAGCAGACTGATTGAGCGTGATGAAAATGAACTATTGGGATCGGGATATGTTGTGGGTAATCAGTACGTACACAGACCTGGTCGGGAGCCTATCTGAACTATATGCATGGTGATCGAGCCAGTGTCCTTTGAAGAAGGCTGCGGTGAAAGACCTCATCTTGTGTATTAGGCAATTGAGATAATGAGCATTTCAACTTGACAGATATCTGGTCATCGTAAGTAGTTTTTGCGAAATGCCAGGTCCCATGTATCTCATGATTATTGTGTGGCACCGACCGGTTTGGATGTTGGACAGACAGGAATCATTTTTTACCATTGCTTCAAAACCTAAAGGGGCACAGGCCAGTCGTCAAAGGCACAGCATCTCGCTGTTCAGAGTTGCGTTCCTTGTGCACCCAAGAAACTTTTAATTGTGGGTTGAATCACGTGTTCAATATGCGGTTGAGGTTTTAGGTTTGCCTGAACCATAACCATGCTCGATGTGTTCACCGCAATACGCGACTAACGATCGGGTTTGCAGATTTGGTTGACACATGTCATCGTATTCCAATTACTTAGATCGATGCTCATACGTTTGATCACTGGATTGTGTGGTCCCGATTCGAATATTTACAGACCATCGCCATATAGCTGGAATATTGCTGAGTGTGGCGTTAGACAACAAACCAACAATAGTTCACAACAAAGATTTACACCTGTCGCCTGCATCACTTCGGATTTCCATGCACAGGAAGCCAACACGCTTTGATGTAAGTGGAATACTGTTCATGTTCTTAAAGCCAATTCACTCACTCAATCAATCAAGACACAAAATGTTATTTTTTAACAAAGGAACCAAACGAATACCTTTTTCCTGTTTAGGTAAACCCCACTAGCGTACATGTGTATCAATTGATCTATCCTTTTCTGTTATTTTTACCAGTTTAATAGAGTTAAGTTTTGTGTCGTGCTGGCACTACATCAAGGAGAGTTTTGTAAGATACAGAACATGTTTTTCGTCTCTACCTGAAAACATACTAAAACGTGTTTTTGCAGGAGACGAATGTACAGTCTGACTGAAGTAGTTTACCAGTGATTTTTAAAAAACAAAACAAAAACCAAACAAAAACCAAACTGTCATCGATCTCAGCTAATTTCACAGGCATGATGCAGACAGACCAACATCACCCAATCAATCTGTGCTTGTCCAAGAGGCGACCAATTTGCTCAGGTGACCAAGATGATTGACAAGTTCATCCGTGTTGCTTTTTATATCAGTCACTAATTACATTTAAGAGTAGCTTGTTTTGTCGCCTCGATTTAATTTTTCCACTACAATATTTACAGAAAGCATTTACTGATAATATCACAGACGTACATGTATGACGTATCATGGTACTTACAGGACTGTAAGTCTATTGTGCTTGTTCTGTTATTCGAAACTGTTGTTGGATTCAATCTGATCAATATGATGACACTACCGCGAATTGTTATTATACTCTGTTAAAG